ACTATTTATTGCTCTTAAACTATTTATTATATTTAAACTATTTACAGTATTACATTTAAACTATTTATTACTCTTAGATTGTTCTCAAGCAGCTGCTCAATCATTTCAATTATTTGACATTAAAGTGAAATAATCCTTATCATTATATAAATTTTGCTGTAAATTCATTGTGAAATGCGAATTTTAAATTTAAACCAATCAGAGTAACTCTAAGAAAAAAAAAGGTTGTTAGGTCTAGATTTAAATGATTATTTTTAGAGAGGCACTTGAGAACAACCTTAAGCAACTTATTACATACTGTATACGTATTATAATCTCAATACTGTGACCATTCAAACTGTCATTTACTTTTAATACAAGCCATCTAAAATTGTCAATAAATAGTTTAACTTGCACTTCTTCTGGGTCAATAGGTTAATATGAAGTAACTGCATTATAAAATTCTCCGTTAAAATAACAATATAAAAGTTATGACAAACTAGTTTTAGAACCTATATACCCTAAAACTCTTAGCGTTTGCTCACCTGATATTTGATATAAAGTTTGTACGTACATATGTATACTCCAAATTCAGTTGGTTTACCATTGGCGTTACTTAATCATGCATATAGCCTAAAGTTACGTGCATTCATATCAGAGACCCTAAAAAATTTCAAAAGGATTAGAAAACAATAAATCGCAATTTTTACTAAATCTTGCTCCAAAAAACAGTTTTATGACTTTTCATGCATAGTAGGTTACACAATAAATCTTATTGGCTAGCTATTTTAGTATACCAATCAAATTCACATAAGTTTGTATAACTTATTAATCTACTGGGATGACTTTTTCATGGCTATTTGTATAACTTATTAATCTACCGGTATATAAAAAAATTTATATGTAATCATATTGACAATTTTAAAGGATAAATTTTAATATTTTAAAAACATAGTTGTTTTGGTGTTGTAACTAATAAGCAACAAGGTAATCAGTATTGTAACAAACAAGAACAAGTAAACATAATCAAGATAAAACTGCTAAACTAACAACGTCTTTTTGGAAAAAAAAAAAAGATTGTAAAAAGTAAGATATTATATTTGACTTTTGGTATCTTATAGTATAAGTACTATATAACTTAATTTGCTTTTTATTAAATATGATAGCTTGTTTTAAATACCACGTCAAGCTACTGCAAATGAATTTCCAGAACATTTTTTTGATTTTTGATGTGCTGAATCACAATTAAAAACATTTTTTGAAAATTTTGTATCGCAATAAAAAACATTTTTTGCCCTTACTCAAAACAATATTTGTGTAATAGAACTGCAATTTTTTAGGGTCCCTGATTCATATAAACAAACTGGAGGTTTTAAAAACAATCCATTGAGTGAATTACCTTTTTATGACAGTAAACTTATGTTCTATTCTTTCATAAACAAAATTTCATCCCTAATGTCATTCGTAAGCAAGCCCTGTATATGCATCTATTCTTTTTTGTGGCACCCAACACATGTTCTCTATAAAAACTGAATAATAAACGTTAAGTTTCTAACAAACCATATGATTATAAGGAACGTGAACTATAAAAAAAAGTCATGTCAATACGCTTCATGTTTTTTGAAGTGTCAAATTGACGATTATAGAAATTATGGAAACGATTAGCAGTAATGGTAATATAACAAAAAAAAAAAAAAAAAGTCATATCAATACGCTGCAGTAACAGTAATATAACAAACAAAAAAAAAAAATTTTTTTAAGAAAAAAAACAATTACTTTTGATAGGTATCAAATTAACGATTATGGAAGGAAAACTCATCTGTAATACGATTAAAAAAAAAAAAAAAAAATTTAAACCAATTTTTTTTCTTTAAAAAAAAAATCGAACATTCAACTTAGAAAATCAAACGTTAAAACATCATGTCTAAAGAAACTCATAGTAACTCAGATATTGTAGACACTGGTGAAGATATGAGTCTTGTTGTCAAGACTAGTGAGGATATTAGCTTCAAAGATGACTGCGTTGTTGTTGATAGTGGAGATACAGACTTTGCCGTTGATAGTGATGAGGATATTAGCTTCGCTTTCGACAATAGTAAGGATACAAGTTTAACTGTCGATAATAATGAAGATATTGCTAATAATGAAAGTGTAAATTCTACTATCAATCCTAGTAATAGTGACACTTCTACTGATCGTATCAGGAAGAACTAATCAACGCACATCTATTGTGTGAGAGTTTTTTTCTGAAGAAAAAAAAGATGATGAAGTAGTTGCAGTAGTTTGTGACATTTGCAAGCAAAAATAGAAACTAGGCAACACAACAGGAACTTTAGCAACTCACCTTAACAGTAAACATAAAAAGAATATCTCCCTAAAACAGCAAATGCTCTTATGTTTTGCAACCACACTATATACACCAAAAGAGGAAAAACGAGTAAATGAAATTAATAGAAAGGTGGTTGATTTCGTTGTGTATTGCCAATTACCTTTTTCTGTTGTGGACAATAAATATTTTAAAGAAATGCTTAGTGTTCTCGATCCATGCTATCATGTTTTTTGCTGACAAACATTAAGTAGTGAACTAATAAATCAGTTTGAGGATACACATGAAAAAATGATAAATTTACTTGAAGATATTAGTTCAAAAGTTTCTGTTACGTGTAATATATGGACCTCTATATCCAATCAATCGTACCTTGGAGTAACCGCATATTATATAGATGATAATTGGGAAGCATGAAGTTTTCTCCTCGATTTAATACATTATCCGGACCACCATTATAGAACACAAACTAAAGACTTGCTTCTAATGCTTTTTGATGAATTTAAAATCACACAATGCATTATGGGACTTACCACTGACAATGATACAAGCATGATTGTTGCAGGGCGTGAGCTGCAAGTAGCTCTTTCATCTTTAGGAAATTATGAATATACGCATTATAGATACACTGCGCACATTTTAAATATTGCGGTGAAACATAGTATGCAGCTCAAAACAATAATTATTGAAAAAATCAGAAACTTTATAAAAAAAGTACGCCATTCCCAATTGCTATATGACTCTTTATGAAACATTTGTACTATACAAAAGGTTGAGTATCTAAAACCGGAGCTTGATATCGATACCTGTTGGAATAGTACATTTCTAATATTGCAAAAGTTTAATAGAATAAAAGAAATACTAGAATATTTGGTTGCAAAAAATAAAAAGCAACTTGAAGATTTGTGGCTTGACGAAAGTGGGTGGGACCAAATAGATGCAATATTAGAACTTCTTGAACCAATATATAAGGCAACATTATTGTTATCTGCTAGCTCCTATCCAGCTATTAGTAATGTTTGTCTCGTATTTATGGGACTTTTACGTCACCTTGATCAATATCTTTCGAATCATGAAATGAATGAATGTTATATGGTACAATCAATAATGCATAAACTAGATGAGTACTGGGGCATTATTGAAAAATCGACTGTACTACTCACATTGCTTAATCCACACTCAAAGCTAATGACCTTTGTAACATGTGAAGCACGGTCTACTGCTGTAAGTGTATTACACGAACATATGTTAAGCTATGGAGAGGCACCCTCAAATACATCCACTACTAAGCAAAGAAAAGAAAATAAAAAAACAAATCAGCGCCTATTCTTTGAATCATTATTACAAGAAGAAAATGCTGCACTAGTAGAAAATGAGTTAGAATGATATTTAGCTCTTCCACTTGCTCCAGAAGGAAACCCACTTAAATAGTGGTATAAATTTGAAAAAGAATTCCTGACACTTAGCAAAATGGCAAGAGACTACTTGTCTATCCAAGGAACTAGTGTTCAAAGCGAACGTGCATTTTCAATCGCAGCTCATACTATTACAAAAATTAGAAGCAATTTTTCTTCAAATTTGGCACGTGCTGTGCTATGTCTAAAAAGCTGGATAACGAAGGTTCATGATGATTATTATGATTATGATAAATTGTAATAAATCTTTGTGCTATATTGTTATTTCACGATCTTATAATGATAGCAAGCTTAGATTTTTAGGTTAGCAGTTCTTTTGTTTTGTGAATATAATTAAATGGATTTCATTTAGTAGATTAGATAATATTCAAAGGAACGGTAAAAGGAGGATTTTGGTAATTTTTAGATAGTACATTTTTTTTTAGGCAGAAATTATTGAATAACATCGTTATATATACCACCAAATATAATTGCATTGATTCATAGGATTATAAGTAAATTTAATATACTAAGAGATATCGTGAAATAATCTAATAAATCATATACGAAACTATTGGTATTGTTTTGCTTTAGAATAGTTTGAATTATCTATAATTTGTAATTTCTACTCATACATTGTTACGAAAAATTTTATCAAATGTTTCTTTTATGCTATATATTTTTTTTTTTTTTTTTTTTTTTTTTATAAAAAAAACCGCAATTAAGCGTACTTTATTTTTTTTTTTTCCTTTGACAGTCACGTCATTAACTTTATTAAGTTGCTAACTACAGCCTTAGCCAAGTTACATGATTTAATAATCTACTTAACTTCCTAAGTT